GCCCCAGCAGCCGCCGATCTGCCTCCCATCACCTGGATAAATGCTTATTCGCTTCTGCTTTGCCGGGTTGAGGGGAGCTGAGGGGGGCTCTGACCCTCCCAGGGCTGCGCCGCGGTTCTGTGGGGCTTGCCGGGGGGTAGCGGGAGGGACACCAGCAGTGGAGGCACTGGGGATCCCAGCGGATTCTCCGGACTCACCCAGGGGCAGGAGCAAATGCATTGGAAAGAAGCAAAGGGAAGGTGTTGCTCTGCCCCTCGGGGCCAGCGGGCAGGCAGTGATCCTCCCAGGATCCCACCGACAAGAGAAAACGCTCCCTGCCTTGCACTTGCAAGAAGCAGATGTTTAGGAAAGATTTCGGGATAATCTTCCCATGTGGCTCCTGAGCTGCCCGCTGGAAAGAGCATGGCACAGACACGGCACAGACACGGTACAGACATGGTACAGTCACGGTACAGACACAGTACAGACAGCATCACTGCAGAGAGCTGGGGGCAGCTCCCTTTCTAAAACAGCCCCCCAGGATGCCCATGGGCTTGTGGTGGCAGGGTCTGGGCAGGGAACTGGGCTCCGGTTGGAGCAAGGGAGCTCCTGGAACAAGGAATCAGTTGGAAATGACTCTGGCAGGACAAAGGTGCCATTCATGGGTGCTCCCAGGCCTGGGTGCTCGCTCCCAAGGCGAAGCCAGGGCTCTCCTGGCTCTGTGAACAAAGCAGCATCACCCTTCATCCTGAAATAAATGAGCCTGGAAGGCTAGGAGGTCGTAGGCAGCCCATCTGGTTTCATTTCCAGGAACACCAGGGGTTCAGTCTCTGGCACTGGAGTCTCTTCCCCCCAAACACCCCGTCAGGATAACAGAGATTCCTTTGCAAAGCTGCTCCTGTGGAGTCCTGTGCAAACCTCAGGGCTGGGGCCAGGCTGTGGAAGCTGAATGGTGCTTTTGTGCGCGGTGCTGCGGGCAGCGAGCCAGCCCGGAGCAGGCAGGAGGGAGCCCACAGAGTGGCTCGGGGTCCCTGTTCCATACCGGGGCACCCAGGTCCTACCAGTGCTCTTAGAAATCCCAGTGCTGGGCTTGCACCCCGAGCTGAGAGGGGCCATCACCCCATCAAGACCCCGCTGCCTCGGGGCAGGAGGGAGCTGTGACGGGGTAGAAACTGGGCAGGGGATGAGGAGCTGGTTGTGGCTCTGTGGGGATGATTCCCTGGAGTCCTCCATCCATTCCCTTGCTGGGGGCACAGCCAGGCAGCAGAGGGGTGCAGCTCGGCTGCCTTGGGGTGCTCAGTCCATCCCAGCTCTCTGGAGATGGGTCCCCATCGAGCGCTGCACAGTGGGCTCCCTCTGACCCCAGCATCTCTCGGGGTCGGTCTGCTCCTTCCTGACGTGGTCCCATCCCTTTTTCCCCTTAGCGAGGGCCACCGGGAGAGCCCGGCCCGCGAGGGCCCCCCGGTCCCCCAGGAGTGCCGGGAGCGGATGGCGTCGATGTGAGTATGGCCGGGAACCTGTGCAGGCTGCAGGGAGGGAGGGAGGAAAGGAGAGGACCTGCAGTACAAAGGGGGACATTGTGTCAGGCAGAGGCTCTGTGGAGGGCAGGGGATGCCGGTGCCGCGTGGTTCCTGCGCTGGGCTGCTCCACACGGAGCATCCCTGGTGCTGCTGGTGGCCTGGGCAGTACTCCTGGTTTTAGCTCCTGCACCGTGGCTCCATTCACCTCCCTGGCCCAACAGCCTATGGCTTCCTGACCACCTTGGGAAACGGGGCCCAAAATGGTTTTTGGGGAGCAGAGCGCAGGGAGGTTTGGGTGCAGGATGCTCAGGGCACCCCTGTCCGGGCAGCAGAGGATGCTCAGGGGGGCTGGGGGCAGGGCTCAGCCCAATAAGGAGCTGGAGCTGGGGGGCTGGTGGGGAGCAGGACCCCCAGGTTGGGTGTCCGCAGAGCAGAGCCATGGCCGAGGGCTGTGGCAGGCAACCGTGGCTCCAGATCCTGCCCAGAGCCTCAACAGAGGGGTCTGTGAGCAGCAGAAAGGGCCCTTTCTTGCCCCAGGGTGTTATTTTAGTGCTACTTCCACCCGTAGCAGCCGCAGCCCCCCCTCCACCCAGCACAGCCCTTGTATTTCCACGC